AAAAAAAAAAAAAAAAGAATAAGAAAGCGATACTCTTTTTCGAAGTACGGATCAAAGGGGAAAACAATAAAACTTGGAATTTCCGTTTTAGCGTCATGGTAAACATTAGGCTGTGTGACAATTAAGAGTCTCATTTGCCCGTATCTGTAGCCGCGGATGGGTAAAGTAGATAGGGGTAAATGAGACTCCCAATTGTCGCGCAACTAAATTTTACCACTACGCCAAAGGGGGAATCCCAAGTAACATTCACTTATTTATTATAAGTGCTTAAGTAGTTTAACGGAAAACTCCCGTCGGTTATGTCAATGGTCATCAAAAAGGAAAGACGTGACAAAATCCATAGAACACCACATCAAGATACAGCCATATGCAATGTTGATATCAAATCCATTTTGTCTTCACTTCTTTTTCTCTCATACGTAACCCCCCCACCCCGCCGAAGAGATTCGTCTGTCCGCTGCGTTTGGACCATTCTGTCGGTTGCCCCTGTCTTCCTGCCCTGTCGAGACTCGATTCCGAGACTCAATTCCGAGACTCAATTCCGAGACTCGATTCCGAGACTCAATTCCGAGACTCGATTCCGAGACTCAATTCCGAGACTCAATTCCGAGACTCGATTCTCGAAAGCCTAGGCATCGGTCTTGGCCTCCTTCTGAGCCGGGGCATAGGCAGCCACTTCGATCTCGACCCGCATCCCCTCAACGCCCAGCTGAGTCACACCGACACAGGTGAAGATGGGCTTGTGGGTTGTCACCCGCTTCTTGATGTTCTCGACCGTGTGCATCAGCGCATCGTGGCTCATGTCCGTGTGGTAAGACCTGACCCTGTACACCTGGGACCAACCTTTCCCTCCGGCGTCCTTGAGCGCGAGCTCCACGTTGTCGAAGGCCTGGTCGATTTCTTCGTAGAGATCTTTCTTCATGTCTCCGGTCTTGGGATTCCAGCCGCCTGTATGAGGGGGACTCACGAGTCACACCCCCTCGAGATATTAGCCAGCGATCATTGTGGCGTTCCTACCCCCGATGAACCCGATGACCCGATGGATACCAAATCCCTGAATCTTGTCTTATCCGTCCGCCACGGCGCAACGTTCCGCCAGACGAGATTCTGCTCCAGTGCTCCCTCCCTCCCTTGTTCTCTAGCCTTGACCAGACCCACATTCCATATCTCTCTCCTCCTGGCAACTATTCTTCCGAGCCATACCGGCATCTCATCGCCACCCCGATGCATACGCCACCAATAATGGGCATACCCTCCTCCAGAGGCACCCATCACGCCCGTCCCTCCATCAAGACAACCATGGAAAGCCAAGAAGACCAAGAAGACCAAGAAGACCAAGAAGACCAAGAAGACCAAGAAGACCAAGAAGACCAAGAAAGTAAGAAAATTGAAAGGGAAGGACACAAGAAAGGGAAATTCCCTTTTGGTGTAATTTCCCCCGGGGGGATCCACGCACCTTGACCGGCGCATTCGATGCAATCACCCACACGGACGGCTTGGTGATAACAATGCTTGTCCAGGAGGACCTTGCCCATATCGGGATATGCGAAGTAGCGGAGCTCCGACATTGATGCGAAGAAAGTACGAGCTTAACGTCCCAGAGACTTATTCGGAAAACTTTGAAAATCGGTCGAATCTCTTGGATTTTGGCAATCCAAGCGTCGGTGAGATGGTTGATGGCTGTGCCAAAAGGTGTAGCAGTAGCACACGAGGGTTGAAAAGATGCACGGAGAACAAGTAGATGGCACAGGTCTAGCGGCGAATCGGCGATCCTTCAAGACAACCACCTACTCCGGTAGCATCAGGTAATAATTCATTGGCGTCAGCATCAGGATTTCCATCGGTCCTTTTCTTGCGCCCCATCCCGAACTTAAATAACTCGACTGCCGAGTTTACATAAGAAGTTCCAGTCTCTTTTGTCGTTGGTGTTGCCGTCATGGTCATATCCCGAGAGCCCGCTCGTTGGTAGAGACTAGAGACATAGTTAACGTTACATGTAGCCTGCATACATCCACCATGGCAACGAACTCTCGACCTTGTCTACAAAGTAGCTCCGTCGCGGCGTCGCCGATGTAGGTATCATGGCTGGTCTATTTTTGTTGGCACCAAATTCGCCGATTTGCCTCTTCTGGTCAGGACTGGTCCAACTGCGGTCAAGGTTCTAACCTTGCTTCGGCTCTCGGTTCTGCTGTCTAACTAGGTAAAACTTGTGCGTGTTGTCTGGTACTCTGTTAAGCTGAGACTCGTGGTATCGTTGCGCCCACTCACACCCGCGGCATGGCTCAGGGCCGCGTCTTTGGGTTTGCAGGTTCTGAAAACCCAGCCGCAACTTGACGAATTTGGACTTTAGCCAACGGTCAGAACCAGCACGACTAGATGAAAGCAATGATCGATAATTGTAAAAATAACACGTCACAACATAAAGCAAAAGTCCTATGATCTGATTTGGGTGCATCGTGCATAGACGTATTAGTCTTTCTCCGTAAAAGGGGGCTGGGCTGAACATGGAGCGGTGTTGATGGCATGCGTAGTATGTGATATCGTTAGCACCAGACCCTTCTTCAGCTTTTCTCGCTTTCAGTAAAACCTCAACTCACATGCAACTGACTGATGAAAGTCACTTCGAAGTGTGTAACGAAAAGTTGATGCCAGCCGGTTCTCCTCTTACTTCTCCTCACATCATACATCGTGAGCCCTCAGCATGGCTGCCACGGTTCAATTCTTCATCGGGGAAGAGCCTTCACATCGTCGCGAAACTGTCGACATGTCAGCTTTTTCCAACTTTCAGCAGCTCAGAGACAGCGTGGGAAGGTTGTTTGCCTTTGCAAATCCTGATAGTACGTCGAGTTGCCCCGGAGCCATCTTTATTACCGCTGTAAACTACACCTATATTTCCATAGCTTCGTCGTTACTTGTTAATGACATCCCGTTTAGGCATTCGCTTCACAGACAAAAACGGCGCACCCTTCGCAACCCTCGATGATGTACGAGCCTCAAAGAATCCCGTTCAAGTTCAAGCAGCCCCTGGTCTCTCTGTCGGGCCACCTCCAGGACCCCGCGCGCTCCCTGTAGTCGGGAACCATTATGAGATATATCCGGACCCCCTGGGGAACTATGACAGACTTTTCGCCCGTTATGGCCCAGTCATCAAGACGACCAACATGGGCACGACGACATACATTACCAACGACGCGGAAATCTCCCGCCACGTCTTGCGCGAAGGCGACCTCTTCACCAAAACAACCTCGGACCCCTCACACCCCCTATTCTACATGAACGAGCAGACCGCCCTCTTCACTTGCGACAGCGCCTCGCCAGCCTTCCCGGCCGCCCACAAGTTCGTCCCCCCGGCCCTCTCCCCGCGCGCCGTCGCCCACTACACGCCCCTCATCCAGGCCGCCGCCCGCCCCGTCTTTCAAGCGCTGGACCAAATGTCCAACGGGAACCTCGCCTGCAACGTGTACCAGTACATGTTCAAACTAGCCGGCCAGCTCGTGTTCCGCGTCATGGTTGGCCAGGACCTGCGGCACTTCGAGGCCCTCGATACGCCGCCGGCCCTCGGCATCCGTCTCTTTGGCGAATACTTGAAGCTCATGAAAAAGACGTCCCTTCGCCCCAAGTGGCACGGAAATCTCCCCTTTGGCGAACCGGCGCGACTCCGCCGTGTGCGGAACCTGCTCTTCGAGACCGTCGCCGGGGAGATGGACGCTTCCGTCACGCCCGGCGGGGGACCGTTGCGCGTCGATGATCCGACGGCCCCGGCCCAGGCCACTTGCGTGGCCGACTTCCTCTCCCGAGCGAGGGACGCGAACGGCGACGGCCTGGCGCGGGATATCCTGCTCGGCAACGTCGTCGTCCTCCTTGGCGCCGGCTTCACTACCACCTCGTCCCTCCTCTCGTGGGCCGTCTACTCCCTGGTCAAGTACCCGGGGAACCAGCAGCGTCTCCTCCAGGAACTGGTCGACCGCGGGGCGGACGGCAAGAGGAGCTGGACCCACGACGAGCTGCACGGGATGGAATTCATGGACCGGTTCGTCAAGGAGGTGCTCAGGCTGCATAGCCCCAGTTTCCAGACGGCGCGCAATGCGAAGACGGATGTCGTGCTTCCGGGTGGGTATCTGGTCCCTAAGGGGTCTATCGTCATCCCTTGCTTTCCTACCATTCACAAGAACCCGGCGTACTGGGACAACCCTACCCGGTTTGACGCGGACCGCTGGGCTGCGCCGGGGGTCGCCGCCGAGGCTAAGAGAAAGGGGATCTACTCGCCCTTTGCGGCTGGGGGGAGAGGATGCGTGGGCTTCAACCTGGCTCTGTTGCAGGTAAAGATGGTTCTGGCGGAGCTGGTCTACCGGTACAGGTTTGAGGACGCGTCTACGGAGGCTGTCATCTACGATCCGGAGTTTTTGGTTATTCGTCCTTTGAACTTTTATGCCAGTCCTATTAGGAGGACTGAGTGGCCTTGTCCGAGCAAGAAGGCACACAGGGATTAAGGTATTGGTGTTGTTTCGTATACGTCTTTCGCAGAACATGCCCAAGTTACAAATAGAGGTGGAAACATGAAGATATTCAACGTCAATACATCGTTATTTGGAAATTTATGAACGTCTCAAGACGGTGAGGATCGTGGTAAACCAGGCACACGATGGGGTAACCCCACGACGTGGAAACAACAGACCCCAGAGCCCATAGGATTCTGAACTCGAGAGTTGGTCCTTCATCACGCCCAGCCTGGAAGCTATGGTCGTGTTGAGCAGGAGAGTTTGTCCTGTCACCCAGGTCTACTCAGCCCCTTTTCCCCCTATATCGTCGGAAATCTCCAAATATGGTTTGGTCCCTTCGGATCGGATGTGATGATCTTGGCACAACACGGAACAAACCGATCTGGAAGGATGGAGGGAGGATTCTGTAGCCTGGTTCCTTTCCATTTCTTACAATGATTTGTTTCTCGGCATCTTAGAGCTAATGTGACTGGTGGAGTGGTGACAAGAGGACATCCCCTGAACATTTGATCAGATGGTCAAGTATTCGCACTGAAGAACCATGGAGATATAGAGAGATCACATATCCAGCAGCGGGAGATGAATGATATATGCTTTATCCTTTGGCGAAGAACCACCGAGCTTGCTTGCATCGAATAGCTCTTCTATCTACAGTCTAGGCCTCAACTGTTTTCTGCCGCGAAGAACATCATGTGTGGCATCACAGCTTTCGTCAAGGATCCTCGGTCCAGTATCAACGGACACGTCAACGGCCATGTCAATGGGATGACAAACGGCCCAACAAACGGCCATCCTGACGCATCCCTCGCAAACAAGCTGGAAGCATCCATCGCCATCCTCAACCACCGCGGCCCAGACGACGCCGGCATCTGGATCAACCAGGACTCCAGCGTGGGCCTCGCACACTGCCGCCTCTCCATCAACGACCTGTCCCCCAGCGGCCGCCAACCTCTCACCAGCGACGATGGCGAGATCCACGCCGTCGTGAACGGCGAAATCTACGATCACGACCGGCTGCGGACCGTCTGTTCTCAAGAACACGGCTATCGGTTCTCCAGCGAAAGCGACAGCGAACTGGTCCTCGCCTTGTACAAGATTCACGGGGCGCCGCGATTCTTCAGACTCTTAAGAGGAGAGTTCTCCTTCGTCCTCTGCGACGAGAGGAACGGCCGGAGACGTGTCATTGTCGGTAGGGATCGGTATGGTATCAAGCCCATGGTGTGGACCAGTATAGAGGGCAAGATCCTCCTGTCCTCGGAAGCGAAGGCTTTCTTGCCTTTGGGCTGGAAGCCCGAATGGGATATCGAGGCTATTGCTACGTCTGGCTGGCAGCTGGATACTCGGACATTGTTCAAGGGGGTCCATAAGCTGCTTCCGGCGCACTGGCTTGATATTACCGAAGATGGGTTCCAAATTCATCGGTATTGGGATGCCGAGTATGAAGACAAGGTAAGAGAAGTTTTGTTCAGGGGTCTCAACTTTCTCAGGGGCTTGGAACTCCACTAACTCCTCGCCGCACGGTCCAGAGGAAACTCGAAACCCGCTCCCTCGACGAAATGGTCCAGGGAGTTCGCGAGAAACTCATCGAATCCATCCGCCTACGACTACGAGCCGACGTCCCCGTCGGTATCTACCTATCCGGGGGCATCGACTCTTCAGCAGTCGCCGGCATCGTGACCCAACTGGCCCGGGAAAACAACGTCAAGATCGGCAACGAGACATCCACCAAGGTCTCCTGCTTCAGCGTCGAGTTCCCCAACAGCTCCGGGTTCGACGAGTCAAGCATAGCCGAGCGGACGGCTGAATGGCTCGGCGTCGACCTTGTCAAGAGGCAAGTCAACGAGGACACGCTCGCGCGCGACTTCGCCGACACGGCGTACCACTGCGAACACCACCACTTCGACCTCAACTGCGTCGCCAAGTTCGCCCTCTCCACTCTGCCGCGGGAACACGGCGTCAAGGTCATCCTCACGGGCGAGGGCGCCGACGAGCACTTTGCCGGATACCCTTACTTCCCCGTCGAGCTGCTCCGGGAGACGGACCACGCGCAGCCCGACGCCCCCCTTTCTCGCGACGAGGAGCTCAGAGCGGCCCTCCACCGGTCCGTCGACAAGGACATGAGACAGGTGTTCCGCAACCTGGGCGCCGCGGGCGAAGGGGGTACGGACGACGACGACGACTGCCCCGCCCTAGCCCAAGTGAACAACAGCACCATGCCCTGGACGCTCCTCGTCTGGCACGCCAAGCGCCGGCTCTTCGCCCCCTGGGTGCAGGACCTGACCGCGGGGCTCGATTACAGGGACACGGTCCTCGCGTCGTACTCGGCCGACGTCCGCGCCAAGATGCGGTCCCGCTGGCACCCCCTCCACTCGGCGCTGTACATGTGGAACAGGACCACGCTGGCCAACGTCCTGCTCTCCTGTCTCGGCGACCGCACCGAGATGGCGCACAGCGTCGAAGCCCGGACCCCGTTCCTCGACCACCACCTTACCGAATACGTCAACCGATTACCCCCTAGCGTGAAAATCGCTTACACCCCTCCAGAGCAGGCCGGGGGGAACACCACGAGCCACCACGGAGACCAGGGTCCGCTGTGGGAGAGCTCGGCCCCTGGGTTGACGTCTTTTACGGAGAAGTGGATTCTGCGGGAGGCGGTGCGGCCGTTTATTACTGACGAGCTGTATAAGAGAAAGAAGCACCCCTTCTTGGCCCCCATGAAGTGGCCGCGAGGAGGTCCTCTTCATCAGACATTATCGGGGATGTTGACCCGTGAAGCTGTCGAGGGTTTGGGGTTCGTCGACTACAATGTCGTCCGGGATTCCTTGGACCGCGCTTTCGGAGAGGAGGCCGATGCGAGTGCGTTTAGGAACCTGCTCTACGTGGGTGCGTGGGTGACTTTGGCGGAACGGTTCGGTGTCCGGAAGGCCACCTGCAATGAATCCAATTAGTCCACGTGCATTCACCGGCGCTGACTCCGACCGAGATGATGAGTTGCTAAAGGAATGAGCGATCTAGAGAATAGACAGTCTAACTAGTTGTCATTCAGTTACCAGGGGCTGTTGTCGTGAGAGGTGTTGTTCACTAGAGGATGACCACGGGTCGGCCCAAAATAGCCCCTGAATCCCCAGCCCCTGAACTCCCAGCCCCTGACCCGGACTGGACCATTGAGACGGTCACTTCCGGGATGTCCCAGAATGGCCGACCCTTATGTTAGAGCCACGTTCTTCTGCACCGTTCCGCCGGGTAAACCCTAAAATCCGCAGCTTATGTTCCGGGGTGGTGACCTTTTTAAATATCCATGGTTGAGACCTCGCAGCATCCGGACTCTACATGTACTCTCGTCTCTCCACCACTCAACAGTGCACGAAGTTTGGACTTTGAGAGACAACGCCCACCATGACGGCATTGACGAGGAGCCCCTTTTGGGCCCTGGCCACGGCCTTTACTGTCCTGCAGAGGACTGCGGCCGGTCCCACTAACAGTCCTTCGGCCTCCTGCAGCGTAAAGCCGTTGCTTGTCGACTTGTCAGCTGAAGTGCCCCGGATGATGGACTTGATCAACAACACCCGTCTCCCAGACCTGCCTGTGTACCCAGGGGTTGGATCGTCGATGGGTATCGACTTGGATGTTTTGAAATCTCTCAAAGATGAATGGCTTAACGAGTTTGACTGGGAGGAGGAACAGGAGGAGATGAATAAGTATTTCTTTTCCTCTTTTATTTCTCGGCATATTCTCTTCTTTGTATCCCCCTTTTCTTACTCTGCACCCCACTGACCCCTTTCATAGATTGAACCACTACACAGCCGTAATCGAAGGCCTCACAGTCCATTTTACCCACGAGGAATCCGACGATCCCGCCGCAATCCCCCTTCTCATCAACCACGGCTGGCCCGGCTCGTCCTTTCTCGAGTTTGGCCCCGTCCTCGACGCCCTAACCGCCTCGGCAGAGACGGAATACGGGACGAACGTCTCCTTCCACGTCGTCGCCCCCTCTCTTCCAGGCTTCGCCTTCTCAGACCCAGCACCCGAGAACTGGACTCTCGCCGACACCGCGCGCATTTACAACGCCCTCATGACAAACGTCTTGGGTTATCCCACGTTTGCGGTGCATGGAACCGCCCACGGAGCCGCCGTCGCCTATACCCTGTACGAGGACCACAACACCACCACGAGAGCCGCACACTTTAGCTTCATTCCTTTCTTCCCGCCGACGGCCGAAGCGGTGGCTGCCATGGGTATTACTCTTGATCCGTTGGAGCAGTTCATGCTGAAGAGGTCGGACGATTGGGGGCGGACTGGGAACGCCTATTATCTTCTTCAGTTGAATACGGTAATATTGTCTCGAAATCATTTGATGATACACGTATCAACGAGGGCTAATAGATAGAACGCAGCCAAATACCATTGGCCTCGCCTTGTACGACAGTCCAGTGGGACAGTTGGCGTGGATAGGGGAGAAGTATATCGACTGTAAGTCGGCCTTGGCTCGCATCATCGCTCCGAGTTGAGGTGTCGCCCTGTCCCTTGGCCCCCTAGGAATCCGACTAAGTATCGACTAGGGTCCGATCCCAGCGCCGGTGTTCCACCTTCGCTCCTAACCAGGCGGGAGGTTCTACGATGTGTCTCTCTGTATTACCTGACGCACACCTTCGTGTCCTCGATTTACACCTACGCCCAGAATCCCATGGCTTTCAGGCACGCTTACACCAAGCCCCCGACCACGGCGCCGCTACTTCTCAGCCAGTTCAAGTACAATGTCGGGTTTTGGCCCAGACAGGTCGTGGAGACGGTTGGCAACTTGGTTGAGTATAGGAGTACGCTACTAAAGGATCTTGCTCCATTCCCATGCAAGTTACTGGTCCTCGGCTAATGAGTCTCTCAGATCACGAACTGGGAGGCAACTTTCCGGCGTTGGATAACCCGGACGCTCTTATTGAGGACATTAGGAGAATAGGGGACTACTGGGAACAGTCTTGAAATGTAATAGCAACTCACAGCGTCGATGGGCTAATATGCTTTGTGGCAACAATAGACATTGAGACGGAATTGCGTGTCACCAGTCCACAGGTCGCCTGTACCAATGTCCTGTCCAACTGTAGGCTCTTCTAGAACATCTTCTGACCAGACGGTAACACAATGTCATTCATTGTTTGCTGCTAGGGACGGGACGGGGATGCTCGTAGGGGGCGAGATAGGGGTAGCCAAGGTATATCGAGGTGAGAGACTCATGGCACGGACGTATGATTCCATGACCACTAAGCGTCAAGTTCTGGGCTCAAGCTTTTTTCGTTGCGTGAACATGAAGGAAAAGGAGCATAGTCCATCTTGAAAGGCTCGAAGAAAATGTATGCCTCGAGCAGAAAAGATCGGAGGACGGTGCGGCTTTGGACGGATGGTCCGGGGGACGATCCTATCGCCTCTTATATTCCAGGTCGGAAGTGAAAGCGAGTTGACCATGACAATGTAACACTGCGCCAATTTCTATACCATGGCCGACATGGACACAGCAGAGTCGTAGTAAGTCATCACTTGCTTTCTCGTACCTTATGAGACGCATAGATGCAGATGAAGCTACTGAGATGATGCAGGTTGGCTTCCGCTATTGCATCCTTCTTCCTTCTTCTGCAGTGCAGTCCCGAACCTTCAGGAGAGATTTGATGACATCAAATGCCAGAGGCCTTCCATCCGCCTCGGCAACAGCCAGCCGATGATACCAGGAGCTCGGAACCACGGAAAGTCGGACTCGGGAGACCAGTTATATCCAAGCATACATGTAGAGATAGTTTAGTGAATTGTCCTTGGTACAGGCCCCAGGAGAGCAGTTCTGTACATGTACCCCATAGAAGAAAAGCTGGAGACGATGGCCGGGCTGACCAAGTGATCACTGATCGGTGTATCCACCAAGGCCAACGTCGTGCCTTACTGTCTCTTGTCTGAGAGGCGGGTCTACTGTCGGACGACAGGGCGGGTCTTCGGAAGCAAGAGACAAATGGGTTCCTTGGTAGACGGCTGGGTCGAGTACCAAGGAGGCGGCTGGGAGTTTGAAACGCGCGGAAGGTCGTACAGAATGTCGTACGTCTCGCATTCCGATGCCTTAGCTTGGGACGTGTAGCAAATCACCAAGACCTGAGGCTGGCTCAAGCTCAAGAGCCAAGACATGGCAGTTCTCGTGCTGTTTTCTTTTCGTGTAGCCGATACTTGGGTTGTCCTGTGTCCTTCAATAGATCCCCCAGCCGGCAAAGGTTGCGGGCCAAACCTGTGTGAGTCGTCTACACAACCTCGACTCCCTCGAGGCGCGCTTCTTGAGAAGTTGAGGACGGAGTGTCACCTCGTTATCGTATCGTATAACCCCGGAATATAGCGCTGTCGTCTTTCCTCGGGGGAGGGGAGAGAATCAGGAGCCGGTGTTGTCCGTGTAAACAGGTAACAAGGCTCAAGTCATCACATGCAAGCAGCAACTTAATTCAATAATTTCTACGTTGAAGGCGAGAAGAACTGAACCTTTTGCTACCTTGAAACCTTCCAACCCCTTTCCTGGGCATGATCATGGTTCAGGGGCTTCAACTAACAGGGCGTCTGGGAGTCCGGGAGCCCGGGAGTCCGGAACACCTCCCAGGCCTCCAAGATCTGGGGCCTACAGTTCTCCGGTGTAAATACCAGCATACGAATGTAGGTAAGCCCTTGTAACTCACCTTACATCATGGCGTAACGGAAATCTGCAGAATATCGTTCCCTCAACTAGTTCCCGTGATGTCCACATGCACCCTCCACGGGCCAGCCATACTGTATAGACTCCATACCACCGTGGCATGGGGCCTGGCGTGAAACGATAATCCTCCAGAGTCCAGACCGACGTCACGACATCATCTCGTAACTTGAAGTATTCGGGAAATCGGAATGAGGCATTCAAGACTATAAAACAGCCCTCGATACTCTCCACACTCCTAGTCCGCCCTTTTCTTTCCCCATCCCCAACGTTGATCTCCCTCCAGCCCGACTCTATACTCCATTCTCGATATTGTATTCGTTAACACGGTAAACCCACTCCCTCTTTTACC